CAGGTGGGATCACAGCGCGGGAGCTGGTAATCAACCTTGAGTAAGACGTTAACGACTGCTGAGACCGGGGGAATACTTGGGTTATGAGCATACTTGATTCCCAACTCCTCGAATCGAGCCTTGATTATCTCGTCCAACTTGGTGTGGTAAAGAGGCATGAGATGCTCTCGTGAATGCACAAGAGTCACCTCCTTTTCAGGGTAAATTTCCTTCAGATCCGTAGCCATCTGGACGCCCACCGCGCCGCCTCCAATGAGAATGACAGAAGACGCCTTCTGAACCGCCTGCTGATGCGCTCTCAAGGTGTCGACCGACGATGGCTTGTCATCGGCGGGCATGGTTCCTGGGCTTGGCAATCTGGTGCCTGTTGTGACAACCAAATATTCGAACGGGATCTCTCCTGAACCTTGCCATTCTCTATCCAGAATGACGGAGTTGGGGCGGAGAGATTTGGCGCGGGCTTGAATCACCTGGTGCCGCGATGGGTTGGATGACTTTGAGAAAGCTGCTGTGTATGGAATGAAAGCTTTGTGCTCATGGTCTGGCAGAACTGCGAAACGAGGCTGGGTCAAGGCTTAGTCATAAATCATAACGACGCAGTGCACAATATTGGCAACTCACGAATGCGAAGAGATGGTGAAAGTGGCTGTGCGGTTCAACCAGCAAGATCTGCCAGGTACGAGTCAGTCGTTAATCTCTTCAAAGCTGTTTCTCGGGAAGTTCACTCACGCGGTGGGATGCTGGCAGAGCAGCGGCAAGCTCGCCCACAGCGGCCTAACGCACGGCGAGCTGTTAGCAGTTGTTCTATAGTCAACAGCATAAGTGTAACGAGACACCTACAAGACCGACATACGATCCTCCGAGGACAACAACGTTCTTCAAGGGTTGCAGCATCTTGATTGGTCGGGCAGTAAGGTAGTTGAAATATCCGAAGTCGTGGGGTAGAAATGTGAGTCTTGGCAGCTGGAACAATTGAGTGTTAAGCTTTGGTTGCAGGACACCTCAGCTTTAACAGATTGTCTTTCACCACGAATTCGGAGCTCGGCTCGTATTACGAGACTTGCGCGGTGGGTCAAGTGCGAGTCGACAGTGTGTCGCAATCGCACTACCGGCGGTGGCTGCCGCACGGATTTATGATTGCAAATCTGATTAGATCTTTCTCAGCTCTTTAGAGACAGCTTGCGTTATCCCCCACTTTACCCGACTCACGTTCGGTTTGTTCGGAATTGGTGGCGGAACCAAAGAGTCGGAGCCGACATGGGCGCCGTCGCCGATGAATAATATGGGGACGTGCTCAATCAGCGGGGCCGCACCGGCAATGAGTCGCGGCAATTTCGTTAGACCGGCTGCCCTCAACTTAGGTATTGAATGTTGAAACGGACGGCCTTTTCCTGCCCGAGAGCCCGGACCTCCGCCCCAAGAGGTCATACCGGACATCGGCGTGAAAGTGGGACTGCTCGTTGAGTGTCCAACCTCCGTGGAAGGGAGACCGCTTAATTTTCGTATATCTGCGCGCCTATCTTTTCTATGTACGTGAATACTCCTGTTACAAAGGATAGTGGCGATAGCGCTAATAAGGACGAGGATGACAACGACGACGACTATAACGATAACGACCACGATAGTAGAAGTGATGACGAGGATAGAAGCGACGATAGATACTAAGGTTATTTTAGTGTAGCTACAGGAAAAGTAGTCGCTGTAGCACAAGACAAATAGACGGTCTCGTGGGTGCCAGACCACCCGGATAACGAGAGGTTGCATGGGAAGTAAGACCTTGATAGACCGAGCACCCATTTTGGAAAAGGTTCATCTGCTCACAGAACCGCAATGGCCGTACCTCTTTGACTTTGGGGGTGAGTTATTCCCCAGGTGGAATATTTAATATCGCTATTTTGTGAATAATTCTTTTGTGAATACTTATATAACTAAAGGGAATATGAGGACCTTTTTTTTCCTCTACTCTAACCTAGGCTAGTCTCCTTAACTACTATATTATAACTTAGATAAGGGTAATAATAGTAATTAGTTCTTAGAGCTATTCACTATACTTCTTATTAAATATCCTATTAATCTCCCTTATATTATTTTTATCCTTTAAGTTCTTAGTAATTTTTTTAAATCTCTACTTAACTTAATAGAGAGCTTAGTTCTAAAGGTCTTCTAAGAGCTTAATATATATTATAAAGAAGTATAGAGATATTACGTTATTATTCTTAGCTATAAGGATATAACTAAGTTATTATTAAATATATAGTAAACTAGTCTTTTTTAGATATTTAATATTACTAGTAATAAGAACTATATTAATTAGGTAGGGGGTATATATAAGATTTATCTTAGAGGGCTTTAAATTTAGGCTATAGTATAATAGGGGGCTGCTTCTACTTAGCTAGATAGCTTAAAAATCCCCTTTATATACCCTATAGGTTAGCTATAGAGGTTACACTCCCTCCACATGTTTCCCCGTCAGAGTCATACGGCAGTCAACAAGGTGCGCCTCCAGGCGGCAAACTACGAAGAAGAAAAGTTAGAAGGGAAGAAAGATATTTAATATCGCTCCTTGCTTTGAAAGCCGTCATAACCTGCTCCTCCTGCATACAACACACGATAACAAGTCCAACACTGGAGAACTATCTCTCATACCGACCTGTCAACCCTTCCAATTACCACAAGCAGGCATGACGCCGTACTTATCAAAAAGCAAAAGAGGGAAGAAAAGTATCAGTCTTGAAGAATCTCAAGATGACGAGCACCATCGAGAGGCAGTTCCCGCTTCTGAACAGACATCCGACGCCTTGCCAGATTGGCTGATACGAAGGCAGCAGAACCAAGCTTCACGACTCCATTCACTGCCGGACGAGTTAATCATGGAGATTATTCTCTGTATGAATGGAGCTGACTTGTGGTTCTTTCGCCAAGTCTCCTATCGCCTCGCCACCATATGTGGAAGCTTTAAAGTCCGCTGGGAGAAGCCTGAAGTCGCTAAGCGTCACGGAATCCATCTACGCTCCGTAAATCAAAGATGGATCACTCGATGTTATCGAAGGTACAAGGATTTGTATCCTGCACTCGCCGAACCAGACCAAGTTTACTGGAGTGGTAGCTGGGTTGCCACACCGACGCAGCGACAACTCAGGTTACTCAAGAGGAAGTTCTTCGAAATGACTCCTTCACATAATGGGGAGTCCTATCTCCCACTCGCACCATACAACTATCCAGGGAAAACCTTACTAGAGCAATATCCCTTGCGCAGAAAGATTAAAGAGCAGCATATCCTCAGTCTCCGCTGTTCAGAGTGTGTCAACAAAAATAATCAGACGTACCGTTACGACTCGCCCGCCGACGCTCTGCTCAATCAGAAATGCGAGAATTGCGAGGGTCGCGATTTCGATTGGTGTTGTCACACCTTGAGCACCGAGAAGAAAACTTTGAAGTATTTCCACGATGGACAAGAGAGAGAATACGAATGTTGGCCAGGTCCACTTCAGCTCTGCGCTCACCAGACTTTTACCTGGCCAGAAATGCACGACAAACTGGTCAAAATTGGCACGATTTCAAGCGACAAAGAATGCGGACAGAACAGGTTCCCATTTGTTAAATGTATCATTTGCTTCGCCGAATTCGCAGCCCACGGCAGCCGCATCAAGCAACCGGCAGTCCGCATAATGAAGGATCGAGCACACTGCTACCTATTACTGGAATGGGCCTTGCCAGTGTTCAAGCTACACAAAGGGGTCGCTATAACCCACGAATTTGTACGGAAACGCTTCGACAGGGTTGGAGAGACCTACGAAGCGCTCCTCTGTCCGCATGCCACCTTTTTCAAGGGAGCTCTCCGAGGATCTCTTCTGGACAAGTTTTGGAATTCTGACCCATGGTACCCAGGTCTGCGATACTGTAAGCGCCAATGCAAATTATGTGGCTTTAGGTACTTATTGAAAAGACACGGCGACAATGTGTACTTGCAAGGCACTTATACGGTTTGGTACAATGATCATTGGAGCAATCCTTCCGGGATTGAGATTGAGCCGAGCATTGGAGGCGATCTTGCGCTTCGCTTGAAGGATCCCACGCCACATGCGACGCGCTGCAGAGCCGAGGGGATTTCTTGGTGCAGAAAGAAAGGATGCTACAATAGGAAGCGCGACTCATAGAAATGACATATTCGAATTCAACGCCAAGGATGCTTTCATAGAGAGAACCCCGGATAAATTGGAATCTTGTGCAACGGTGACTAACGACTCACCCACAGTCAAGATCTTCTGCAAGTCTCATCCTGGACCTAAAGCAATTTTGTACTTACTTTCTTCGCAGTCCTTTCTTAATAAACGATGTCGAATCTGCCAAGTCGTTGAAACCTATGTTCCCGCAATTTCGGCTGTGCCAGTGAGACTCTTTGAAGATTTCCCGAGCGATTCTCCAGGACCTACACTGCCTGCCATCCCTCCGGGTGACCCGCCATTTTGCAACGACCCAAGTCTGTGTGTTCTTGGCACAAACCTGGACCTATCTCTCGGTTTTGAGAACCTTTGACTCGTATGCTTCTCTTGAATACCCACATCAAATCGTTCTAGAACTAAGAGATGTTAGTGTCGTTTTACATGTCGCTAAAACATTCGTGACCACAGACTCAGCCACGGAGTTTTTGTCTGCCCAGTCTTTATTAACAACCCACAGATGTCTTCCAACTTTACAAGCAGCTTCTTTTCAGATGAACGCGGCTATATCCGCAGTGGTCTGCTGGAATCTTTTCCGGTAGCGAGCTTAATACCGAATCCGACGACGTCATGAACTTGGCTTCAGGGGGGTAACATAGCACAATGACAAAATGCAGAATACCTCCATGGAGGACTTCGTGATTCCTATAAGTTCAAGGACAAACGCTCTGTAGCACTCTATTTGAAGTCTTCTTCATCATCAGCTAGTGGAACTTAATCAAACTTCTTTCCATCATTTTTCAAGCTTTATCGCCGATCGCAGACCTCTTCGCCATCATCATGGTTCTCTCTAACGTCTTCACTTTGTTCTGGGTTATGGTCCTTGCGGGCTGTGTTGCTGCCGCACCCTTGGAACCTCGCCAGTTTTCCGCACGTATTACACTGGGTTATAGGACGGTTAGCAAGGTGAGTTTTCAGACTGGAGATTGAATCAGTGAGTTTGACTTAGCGACTGGCCATTTTCCCAGGAGCAAGCCAAGCAGTACAATGCCAAGGGGAGAATCACCTTCGACCCTGCAAAGGCTCAAGGAAACCAGATTGGCGTCGGCGTCTACACCACACCTGGCCCGGCCGAGTGGAAGGGGAACCCAGGAGACTGGTCAGTAAACCCACATGAATCATGCTTTTGCCCTCATGTCCCTAAGGACCTCTCTCCTGACCATCTTATCATGTGCAGGTACTGCCACATTACCGCCCGCATGTCGACTGTGGATTCCATCCCGAAAGTCTGGGTCCCTAAGAAATACTGGTGGAACATCCAAAAGATGTATACGTGGGCGGACAAGGAATTCACCCAGAAGACTAAGAATTTCGACTTTGATAATGTCTTGCGCCTTTCGCAAATCGGCGACTACGAGCCGACCAAGCAGCTTCTGATCCCGACATACCTGCTCTCCGGCAAGGGTATGGACTTGAAAGTCACCTGCAAGGCTAATTGGAAAGACCTTCCCTCGACCAAGCCGGTGGACTATTCCAAATGGCCCAAGGTCCTTGGCATCCCTCAGTAGGGTATAGTACCGGAGTACGCTTCTAATGTCAATTCCGTGGCAATGGTAACAGCTTGTTGCTTTTGCGACAAGATCCATACTAAGTTGTTTGTCTCATTCTGATAGACCAAATTCACGATGGGGCAACTTAGTTCTAGGTAGGTAGACGGGACTATGCATTGGGATATGAGTAGAGTGTTTACTGTGTACGGTGGGCGGCATTGACAAAAGGCGTGGGAAAGGCGACGAACACTATATTTGTAGCCTATTTCGCTTCCAAATTGGATATCAAACACAGAGGGTTGATTGTTCACTATTACTCGATGTTTATGCCCTGACCACCCGCGAATAGGTAGTTTTCTTAATATAGACCATGGCCTCTTGCGCCTGAGTTAATAAGCATAAAACAGCCTTGCCTCCTGGTCAGTGGCCCGAATCTTCCTGTTCTCCCTTACGAGCATCCACTTCATAAGCCATGCTCCAGCAACGCAAGCTACACAGAAGGCGGCACTGCTGGCCATCGGAATGACGTATCTCGGGGCGTCGGATGTTGGCCACAAGTACTAAAGTCATGATGTCAGTGGACGCCATCTTCTATCTGTCACTAGGAATAATGCTTACCGGAGTCCAGATGAAGCTGATGCTTGCGCTCGTGTTGACGATGGCCAGCGCCGAAGCCTTCTTCTCCTTCGTCTGCCCACACGTGCTTCCAACCCAACCGAGCAAAATGCTGTTCACTCCGTACGTGCCTACTGTGAAGACTACCATCGCAAAGTAGCGTGCGCCAGTGTTCATAGTGGCACAAGCCAAGACGAAGCCAAATAGTGCAACAGCCTTGGAGATCGAAATGTGCCAGGTGCGCTCGTTGTGCTTCCCTGAGCTCCAAGCCCAGACGATAGACAGGACTCCAGCAATGAGGTAAGGCGGGCACGTAAGAACAAGGGTAATGGTGGTGTTGAAGTTGAGCGTCTCGACAATGGTGGGGAAGAAGTTCTTAAAGCCGTTCGTGGCGAGGTGCATGTGCTGCATGTAGATGAACACCCACACCTTTGGATCGACGAAGGCTTCCTTGAGGCCGCCCCAGGTGCTGCTCTGCAGACGCACACCCACAGTATCCCGCGCGATTCTGTCGTGGGCAAGTTGTCGTTGTTCAGGGGTCAGCCAGCGGGTCGTCAGGGGCTCGTCGGGAAGGGTGAAGCACGCAACCATCGCGATTGCGAACGTTACTGCGCCTTGGAGGATAAAGAGCCAGCGCCAGGCCGCGAGCCCGGCGGTGCCATCCATGCCGTTGAACACTCCTGCTGCAATCAGGCCAGCGAAGGCCGTCGCCAGAATATTCCCTGAATAGAGCACGCTGATTCGCGTTGCCAGCTCTTTGCGCGTGTAGAAGATAGATAGGATGTATAAAGCTCCCGGGTAGTAGGGAGCCTCCACAACGCCGAGGAAGAATCGCGTCAGGACGAGACCTTTGTAATCGTGGACAACAGCTGTCAGAGCGCTCACAACGGCCCAAGCCATCATGAAGCCGCCCATGTACCATGACGGCCGAACGCGGGTCAAAATCATATTGCTGGGAATCTGACCGAGGATGTAGCCGACGAACAAGATGGAGACGGAGGTTGAGTATTGGACGCTTGAGAGGCCGAGTTGCTTTTCCAGGCCGTTGAGGCGGGCGAGGGCGATAGCATTACGGTCAAGATAGCTTAGCGGTTAGCGAAAAAGGAAATGAAAGGGTGGTAGAGGTAGACCTACTTGAGCCAATACATCAACCAAAGAGTCGGCTGTGCTTCTGTTAGATTACAAGTTGAGGCGCGTTAGGGTGCGCTGACTGACCATGACCCAGAGGTCCAGTTTCTTGACAAGCTTGATCTCTTCAGGATCCGTCTTTGCCGTAGCTCCAGAGTAATCAACTGCCGGTGCAACTGTCTTGTCATCGTCTGCGACATGAGAGTGCTCCTGGTGCAGGACTTGTTGCTTCTCAATGTCAGCGACCGGCTGCTCGACATGGCTCTCTGGCCGCGGGTCTGTAGAGTTCGCCATCTTCGTCGCAGTCTTTGTCAGTGACGACTTCTTAGTTGCGACCAAAAGCTCAAGAGCTACAGATGAAAAGACGACGTTGCATCCCTAGGCCAACGAAGGAGAGCGCCTGTATTTGATCTCCAAGCACCGGGGAGCTCTTCCCCGCAAACAACCCCGGATTTGGCATTCTTGGCTCGAGATATCAGTGTGGAGAGAAATGCAACACTCGCATGCACTCGGTGGGGAATCTTGCACCAAAGTGACGGTAGACTGGTGTTGGGAAGTCGATAAGCCGTCTGCTCGGCCTGCGGCGCCGAAGACCGAAAAGGAGGTACAGAAACAAGGAGCGGTCACCTCCCTCCAACGCGCCAGAGGATCACTGCCCAGGCGCCGTTCCTACGTTCCCCCAACTTGCCCCCTCATCCCCCGCAGTTCCGGTGGATCGGGACACTGGAGGTGGACCAGAGGCGCAATTCCTTATCCGCGGCTCCGCGACCGGCCCAATCATGTTGCAATGGTTTGCCGGTTGCTGCATGGCAAAATGTTGAGGGGCTGGAAGACACAACTGTGGAGTAGTTTTCGGCCTCGGGGCCGCGCCGCTGTCTCGGCGTCTCACGCCGCTTTGCGTAGAAACTTGGGTGGTTGCAGGCTGATGAAAAGGATTAGACTGACGCAAGGTCGCGCGGCAAATGCCCCGGATATGCAGCTCATGAGCCGCATCTTAGGGTATTCCCAAGCACTTAGCAATCGGAACCTGTCCGATGGCGCTTGTGCGTTGCTTGGCTCGGTCTTCAGTCCGCAATCGGCCGCATGTGAGAGTGGTGAAGTGGATTTTGGTCCCTTAATCTTCCTTGTCGTCTGTACGAAGATCCAAAGATATCCGTAGTTGAAACCATGTTGCATTATTGGAATAACACATATCAAAGCACCATTGATGCTGCTTCAGCCGTAGAGCTTGACCCACCTACTATTCTTCCTACGTCTTTTTCTTACCCGCATCTTCGTATACACCATGATCGAAAAACCTCCAATTCGTATCGGAAATGTCTCCGGCGCAACAGGAGACCATCCACACGCGATGGCGCCCATTGTGCGCTCCGGGAATGTCCAGGTCATCACCGGCGACTGGCTCTCGGAGATGAACATCGCCTGGAACGCCATCACCAAACGTGACGTCGACCCGAACCTCGGATACGAAAACGGCTTTTACGAGCAGCTCGAAGCCTGCATCGATGATATAATGACGAAGGACATAAGAGTGGTGACAAACGCTGGCGCGTTGAACACCACGGCACTCTTCGAGAAGATCAAGGCGCTGTGCAGGAGGAAAGGGTACCCCGAGAGCGTTGTGGCGGCGGTTCTCGGCGATGATGTATCTGGTTTTCTTGAAGATACCAGCCAAGACTTGAGGTTTCCTCATCTCGATCACCCTGAGATTACTCTCGACGACTGGGGCTTCAAGCCCTGTTGCGGCAATGCTTACATCGGCTGCTGGGGGATCGTCGAGGCACTAAGAGCTGGCGCCCGCATCGTCGTTGCTGGAAGGTGTACGGACGCGTCGCCGGTCATGGGTGCTGCTGCGTGGTACTACGGCTGGCGGGAAGATCAGTACCAAGAGCTTGCCGGCGCTCTACTGGCCGCTCATCTGATTGAGTGCGGACCGTACGTCGTGGGCGCGAACTTCTCCGGCTTCAAGGACTTCCTTCCTGAGCTCGTGGATTTGGCGTTTCCCATTGTCGAGATCAGTCGAGACGGCGAATGCGTCATAAGCAGGACTGCCGAAGGCGGCGGGCATGTCACCAAGCACACAGTAACGGCGCAGTTGCTCTATGAGCTCCAGGGGCATCTCTACCTCAACCCGGATGTGGTAGGAGATCTGTCCGGGGTCCATGTTGAGGAGCAAACAGGCTTTGGGGAAGATAGAGTGCGAGTTTGGGGTGTCAAGGGCCTGCCGCCTCCACCGACGACTAAAGTCATGTTCGCCGCAGAGGGAGGTTACCAAGCTGAGGCAACCTTCTACATCAACGGCTTGGATGTTGATGAGAAGGTGATCATGATGAAGAATCAGCTACACTACATGTTTAAAGACAGTAACTTCAGCCGACTAAGTATGGAGCAGTACGGTACTCAGGTGCACAATCCCAGCTCACAGCAGGCTGGGACAGTTCAGCTCCGGGTGTTTGCACAAGCGAGGACAAAGGAAGACATCGCGGCGGTGAAGTTCAAAATTCCCATCTACGCCGTGAGGATGCAGAGTTATCCGGGGTACCATATGTCTCTCGACTTCCGTACGATGGATCCGAAACCGTTCATGGAGATGTTCCCTGCTCTGATACCGCAGTCGGCCATCGACCATCGTGTACTGTTGGGGACCGGAAAGTTGATACCAGTCTCATCACCGAAGGAAACGGCCAATTACAAGGTTGTCCGGCCATCAGCCGACACCGCCGAACCCGTCGACCTGACATCTCTGGGTCCGACAGAGTTTGTTCCCTTGGGTAGCATCGTCCATGCTCGGTCTGGCGACAAGGCCGACAACTCCAACATTGGTTTCTTCGTCCGACATGAAGATGAATATGCGTGGCTGCGGTCATTGTTGACCGTGTCGCGATTGAAACAGCTTCTCGGTGATGATTGGTATAAGATCAATCCTAACAGGCGCGTGGAACGTGTCGAGTTCCCTGGCATTAACGCCGTGCACTTGTGAGTAATTCTTCATTATTAAGATCAACAAAGAGCTGATAGACGTTAAGCCGCATTTTGGATAACCTGAACGGCGGCATCGCCTCTTCAGATAGAATCGATGGGTTGGGGAAGGGAATCGCGGAGTACTTACGGAGTAGATGTGTCGATATTCCCAAGGCTTTCCTCCAGCGAGGAAGGATATGAAGTGGGACATAGGTTATCAGACTGTATTATGTTGTAACAATATCCAATCATGGCATACTGCTGTCGTTCGGCCTCAGAAGTACCGACTTGAACTGTCCCGTAATCCAAGGTGGCGACTACTCCGCTGCAGCCACTGGGCAAGAGCTTTGGCGACCGCCTATTTTTCTTGTGCTAGAGCGACTACTTTTCCTGTGACTATACTCTAGTCACTTTACTACCGTCGTCGTCGTCGTTATCGTAGCTTCTATGATTATCGTCATTCTTATTATAGTCGTCCTCGTCCTCGTCCCTGTCCTCGTCGTCACTATCGATACTATCGCTTTCGATAGGAGTAATCAAGTGCACAGGAAATTCAGCCGCGCAGACACAGGAAGATTGGGCGGGCTCGAGCTCTGCACTCAACTTTCAGTTGGACAGGTCGTAATCTCGGGGTTTATCATCCACATCTACCTAGATAAGCCACCATCGTTATGACACTTTTACATAAGAGGTCTGTCTCCAATAGAATCCGGCCACAAGATCTGTATCATTGACTCGTGAACCGCCAGTTTCAGCTACAAGAGCATCAGAAGTTCATGATTTAGACTGCAAATGCCATTCATTAGATTCAAAATAATTGCACTAATGGTCCTTGAATTATGAGTCAGTGACTTCAAACTCTGCTCACTCCATGGTAAGGCCAAGGAACTAGCGATAGAAGTAGGCCCGCCGCGGGTACGTTAACAGAGGTGAAGGCCCTCACGTTGACCGTCACAATTCCCGCCTAGTGTACGTGAACGGAAGTTAAAGCCCTCACGGTGACCCTCACTAGACGTTATCTCTTGGCCGTGGCTTCTGCGTCATGTCGTTAACGGTCTCCCGGACAATTTTGCTCACCGGAGTGCCCAGTTTCAGACTTTCCCAGCGAATCAGCACAGCCGATATACTGGATAACTCGGTGGGTTACTCTCACGGCTGTCGGTGTGCCGAAGATGTCCGTAATTTGCCCGGCCAGTGCCTGAAAGTCTAATTGAACGTCACCCTCACCACCAAAGCTTGCACTGTTCTTCGCCATCATGGACATGGCACATATAATAAATGACAAAAGCCAGATTACACAGGCAATGGATGCTCATTGTCGGAATAGCAAGGTGAGAAGAAAATTACCCAATTCAACGCCATAAGACAAGGTCAACATGGACTTCCGTTTGCCGCAAGCTGCAATTGCCTTTATGGTAGTCATCGGAGGTGCGGTCGCGTGGGTAAGTTCGCCTGTCTACGTGAATCGAAAGAAGTCGCTAAAACTAGATAGAAGCTGTTGAATTCTCTGAAGAGCCCAATGGCAAACCTGCCCGGACCTTGGCATACGATAATTTCAGACCTTCGATTACGATACGAAGTTGCCAGGGGACGAGGACCCCATTGGATCCATCAAATGCATGTGCAATACGGTCAGTTCTCGCGACGCATTGTCAGGTCCATTAGCTGGCAATACTAAACATCAACAGGTCCCGCGGTTCGTTTGGGTCCTAGTGAGGCAAGCTTCCAAGACCCAGCCGCCGCCCAAATCATACATCGCATCAAAGGCGAGTACTTGAAGGCGGATCTCTACGACAAATTGATCACTGGAGTTGTCAATGTTTTCACCACTCGGAATCTTGACGTCCATAAACGCCAGCGACGTCTCCTATCGTCCGAGATGGCCGAGTCTGCACTTCAGAAACACGTCCCCGTAGTCGAATCAAACATTCGATTGGCACTGAATCGCATGCGGGAAAACATGGAGAAGAATGACTACACGGCAAGTACATCACTCAACTCTACCGATATATGTACTTACTGTCTTTGAAGGACGTGTATCATTGGTTCCTCTCAATGGCCACTGACATCATCGGCGAGCTTAGCTTCGGTGACTCCTTCCGGATGTTGGAGACTGGAGAGGTAGACCCGATACGTTCGACTCCAAGGCCATTCATGCTGACTACGTCTTAGGAAAACCAATACATCAAAGACATGCAGAGCGTGGCCCAGGCCGGAGGAGTCCGGGTCACTTTTCCCTTTCTGCTCCAATTATCGAAACTGGTGAATATACCGGTGATAAGCGATGCTGTCGCCAACCAGGAGAGACTCATTGGTTATGCTGACCAGTCCATCAAGCGTCACCAAAAGTTGGCGCAAGATAACGGCGATGAGATGAAAAGCACGCTGTTTTCGAAGCTATACAACCAAGTGAGCGATGGGAATCTCAGCTTTATTGAAGTGCGCGACAACGCCGTAGGCTACATCGTTGCAGGCTCAGACACCACCGCAAGTGCCACATTCCAGAAATTCGATGAATGCCAACAGCTAACGATTATGAAGGCAAATTCCTTGACCTACCTCGTGTGGTTGCTTTGTCGCCACCCAGAGGTTAGGGACATCCTCGTCGCAGAATTGCGAAGCCTACCCTCAAACTTCAATTACGAACAAGTCAAAAGCCTCAAATACCTCGGATACGTTATCGAGGAGACACTGCGCCTCTACCCCGCCGCACCGGCCGGTTTGCCCCGGCTCGTCCCGTCTGGCGGTGCGGAACTCGGTGGCTATTACCTTCCAGCTGATACCGTTGTCAGTACGCAGGCTTGGAGCTTGCATCGTGACCCCAGAGTTTTCTCAAATCCGCTCAAATTTGACCCTGGACGATGGGAACATGCAACGAAGGCAATGAAAGAGTCACTGCTCACTTTCGGCGGGGGTAGTCGTGGTAAGCATCCGTCATATCGCGTCCAGTTCACAGTGCTAGGTCTAACCTGCTCCAGTTTGCTTGGGGGTTCACCTCGCGCGAATGGAGTTGCGGCTCGCTGCGGTCCATTTCTTTCTTGCGTTTCCTGAAGCAACAATGTCGTCCGAGGAAGGGTTCACGGATGATGATATGGAACCAGAAATGTATTTCCTCTTGAAACCGGCTTCTCACAGGTGCCTCGTGAAGGCAAATTGAGCAAAGCTAAGCACCTGGCGAGGTCGGCGCGGGTTGTTGTTCCGGACCCCTGGACACCTATACTGCGATTCCCTGCTGGACGAAGCACCGGCTGAAGTGCCTTGCTGGACTCCGCTATTGTGTGCCTTATCATAGGGTGGGCTATGAAACTCCAACAAGCATGTACATAGATCATTAGAATGTATTATTTTATGGCTACTGCGGCATTTTGTTGTTTGTTAGCCTCAAAAGTACCGACTTGGAGCTTCCCCTAATCCAAAGAGCCACTCTTGTGACAGTTGAGCGATCGCATCACTATGGTACTGCTCGTAGTAGATATTCTGCAGGTCCCCGAAGCAGTCGCGTAGCGTATCATCCACCGTCATGTTGACAAAGGTCTGGTTTGTCTCGTGCCCATACATGGCGTCTGTGAGATTCATGTCCACGGGCTGGGATGTGTGGCCAACATCTGCGGGCGGATTGGCGAAAGACAAAGTCGTTGCCGATGTCTGCCCATTTTGTGCTTCCACTACGTCCGCTACAACCGCGTCACTCAATCGGTCAAAGACTTCGGAACAGTTGCGTGCCATGGCCCATCTTTCTGAGAGAGCGACCAACACCTTAGAGCAGGCACGAGTATCGTTGACAACCTGACTGATAGATGGAGTTGAACTAAGGGTGGCATTGGCGACGTTTCCACTGCCTTGAGACCGGTTCTGGATGTGCTGAATGTGGTTGCGTAGGGCATAGATATAAGAGAGGCCGGCAATGAATATAGAATGAAGAGTGACCCAGGAGTAATTGATTTTTCTGGATCGATGTAAGTTGGCGTATAGTTTGATTGCTTCTTGTGACGAGTCGAACATGTGCTGCAAAACGTTGCTATTTTTGGAGGCGTCGCAAATGGAGGGGGACGGTCGGAATAGCATGAGAATGCCGTTGTGGTACAGCAGCTCGTACCATTCCGCTGAACGGAAACTAGATCTGCCTGCAGGAGATGCGAGAGGTGCGTCGGCGGGAATGAGCGGGAGGCTAGAAGTCCCCGCACGCCACGTTTGGAGCTCCTCGGCTAAAGCCTCTCGGGTAGTCTCGTATGCGGCGTTGCTTTCTCTGTTGATCGTGCTTCGGTGTAGTGAATTAAGAATCTTTCCACAGATAAGTCGATATCGCACGATATGGACGAATATGACTGTGCCCAGATGCCACTCTGGGGTTCCAAACAGCGCTGTAGACAAGTGACCTTGAATTGGTACACTGGCCGGGATCGACTCCGAGTGAGGAAGCTCGGCGTCGATGTCGTCCAGCTGTATCGCGAGTGGTCGCCCAAGAATCATGCTGGCAATGCGATCCATGGATACCACGCTCCAGAAGCATCTTCGCTTGATCTCCAGATCCTCCTGTTTGGCCTCGATTTCCGTCTCATCTCCGTCTCGAGGTAAGGTGTAAGTTGACGACTTGTGTAAGCCAAGTTCGAAGCATGTCCGCGCTGCCACTCCGATGAGATGCCAGACATTTGTGCTCGTATCGTGGGACGTCGTGCCCATTCTGTACTGGCAGATGAGAAGCAGTGCCTGAAGCGCCGTAATCCCGCCCCGACCGAGAACATCAACAAGACGCGTCAGGGCTCGATTGTAGTGGACCTCGGCGTCCCAGATACCGTTCCAATTGAGCTTGTAAACTTGTGCCGTGCCGATCGCAAGGGTCATATCGACAAGGAAGCCGTCAACAGGATCGATCGAGTCGGAACTCCTTGCCTCATAAACGGCATCCAGCGCCTTGTCGAGCGCCTTTGGAGACAGGAATGGGTAACAGAGTCGATCATGGCTACAATACGCATTCACTATCTCTGTCGCCATGGCCCTTGGTGGCAGGCTCGAAGCGGCGTTGAGGATGAAGCTTCCTGTTGTGCTATCGCTGTTCGATATTAATCCCGGAGGTTGGCTGGCAATGAGTTGAGACGGCGCGGCAGGTTGACTGTGCGATTGAAGTAGATTAGCGAGGAAAAGACCACTTGTCGATCCGACGAAGTCTTTTCCTCCCCCAGCACTGAGTGAAAGATGGATAACTTGGCTGGCGATTTCGTTGCCGCCGGCAGAGGCTCTTTGATCCTCGGTGTGTAGACCGAGGCTTGATGATGTGGTAGGGGTGACCAGCCTGTCTCCGCTACTTGCCCGTTCCTCGCGCCGCTGTTGCTGAGCCTCGGCCAACTTGCCGGATAGATCGTCATTCTCTGCTTGAAGGTCTCGTATCTTCTGCTCAAGTCTCTCGACATCCTGGCGTCGCAGCTCAATTTGGTGCTCCCTTGCTGCATAGGTGCATTGGGCGTTGATCCTGGCACACGGCGCGCATGACGGCCTCGTACGGTCGCACCGAACCTTTCTGCGGTGACAGCGCTGGCACGCGCCGGTCCGGCTGGCGGATGCCGGTGGCATTGGGCTGCAATCCTTGCCTCTCTTTTCTGCGAACGGAATCAACTCATGTTGTACCGGCTTATGCTCGAGAGGTCTTGCATGCGATGACGAAGGTTTGCCAGGACACTGAAGGGGGCTGGGTTGTTTCCGGGAAGTTGGAAAGTCTGGGGTAACTTTCCAGCGTGGGGGCATTAAGTGCTGGAACAGGGCCATCTTTGGCCAACAGTCCCTCCCGGTTTCGGTCATGTTAGTGGGTCTGGGGCGGGATTTCCTCCTGGTGCACCCAACACATTATCTGACTACATTGATAATCATCTTGCAGCGATGAGGCACGACGTGATATTTCTTTCACCATTTGTGTAATGTTTGGCATATGGGCTTTATCATAGTTTTAGTCGCTATATTACAAGTTGCTTTTAAGCTAGGGCCAGAACGCCCAGCAACAGCATCGTCATGGCGAGTCCGGTTTCCGAGAAAAGTTGACCTCTTAATAGGGGATACCCCACGTAATCAATGAAACTTGACGAAGTTCCCAGGATAAGTTTGCTGATGCAAGACGTCACATTTGACCCCAATTATATCACATGTGTTTGGGTCTGCCGTTTGCCAGCGGGGAGTTAAGGCTAACTACGCCCTCCTCCGGCCCATCCCTACCACTGTCCAGCTTTTTTGGTCACAACTGCCAGTCACTGCTGGCCTGCCCCGCTTCGACTGCCTGAAGAAGTTCAAAGGCTCCGGCCATAGTACTGGACCATATCTATCCAAATAATCAGTTGAACCAGTCGAGATGAATGAATGATGTACTGGGTTTTAATTGGAAGCTATCGGTACAACTTTAGATAGACCCTAAGACTCCAGGAAACTGTAATTGGAGGCTCATGCGATCACTGCGGGGTAGCTCATTGACACCGGAGTTTTCACTTTTTTCCGATTGTCCTTTGGACTAAAGGCAGCATTCATGGATCGTGTGAGTCTGTCCGACTCCACCGGAACATCTCAACCACATGTACTTAGCGAGGCAAGCAGGACATTTCAGGAAGAGCAATAACCACGCCGAAGGACCGCTGCCTGATGTGCTACAACATTGATATCTTGATATTTAAGCTTTTGGACTCTCCTGTGATTCTAACTATTGCGTATCTTCTTCAGGCCTGACCCGACCCAGAATATGCCGTCCAAGCCCACATTTTTCCACAATCTCCAGTGGCGAACGCCTATTTTCAAAATGAGCTTCTTTAACAGCAAGCTCATAGCCCTTCTGGGGGCAATTGTCTCGTACATAGTCGCCGTCTCGATACTCCGCGCCTTACGTCCAGGTCTTCGTCAGATACCAGGCCCGTGGATTGCTAGATTTAGCCCTATTTGGAGAGTGATGTTCGTGTGGAATGGAAACGCTCATGAACGATACCGAGATCTTCATGCAAAGTATGGACCAATCGTGCGAACTGCCCCGAACGTCGTTGATATCTCCGATCCTTCCGCCATGTTCACTATATATGGCATCGGCAGCAAATTTCTCAAGGTTCGTACATACGTGGTGGACAGTGAATGATGAATCGATGCTCACAGAACAGTCTGCGTTTTATCATACCCTATCAATGGCATACGAGGGCAAAAACATGCCTAGTATGTTCTCCACCACCGATCCCGAAGAGCACAAGGCCCTCAAGCGGCCGGTTGCCCAGAAATTCTCCATGAGCTCGATACGAACACTTGAGTATCTGGTAGACCCCTGTAGCCAGATTTTCACCGACGCTATGTTAGAAATGCAGGGGCAGGTTGTCGACCTCGGAACCTGGGTTCAGTGGTACGCCTTTGACGTGATCGGCGCAATCTCGTTTGCTCGAAGGTTCGGATTCATGGAAGAACGCAAAGACATCAAGGGAATGATTGCGGGTATCGATTTCGGACTTGTCTATGTCGGCCGGGTCGGGCAGGTGCCATCTCTTCATCCGTTTCTCCTCGGGAACCTCGCCCTTAGGAGGGCTTTTTCTAAGCTAGTCCCCGTCTCCAGAGATCCCATCGCAACTTCCACAAAGGTATGTCCGACTGGGACGGTAGTGGCTCAGATCCCCTGCTCAGAAGGCTTGTCTTACTGATTGTCTGAGTAGATGGTGTTGGAAGGCATCAAGGAGTACGATGCTGAAGAAGCAGACACTGCTCATAGACGGGACTTCCTCGCATACTTACGACAGCAGCAGAAGTCCACCGGCACCATCATGAGTACTTGGAAGCTTATGAACCACTTGATGAACAATCTGTAAGTTCTCGGCGCGCGACATACTCCTAAATTGTAGGCGCGTTCTACTAACAAGCCTGGGGATCTAGTCTCGCTGGAAGTGATACTACGGCTATTTCTCTCCGCGCTGTATTCTACTATCTCCTGAAGAACAAACACGCGTACCAAACGCTGCAACACGAAATCGACAAGGCCGACAGGGACGGCAAGCTATCCCCCGTTGTGCAGTACAGCGAGAGCCTGGAACTTGAATACTTGTGAGCGTTGAGATGGTTTCCTCAGGCAGAAAAGCTCATATGAAGAACACTTACACAATTTCAAAAGACAACTATGTATCAAAGAAGCCATGCGAATGCATCCCGGTGTATCATATCCCCTCGAGCGTATAGTGCCCGAAGGTGGAGTCGAGCTATGCGGAGTTCAGCTCCCAGCGGGAACCATTGTAGGTATGAACGCAGCAGTCATTCATCGTAACTACGAAATATTTGGTGAGGATGCCGACGAGTTTCGACCGGAGCGTTGGCTCTGCCCTGAGGAGCAGGCCAAGAGCATGGATCGGCACTTATTGACCGTAAGTCACAGCACTATCTTGTGTTCATACCCGTCTACTGCCCCCCGAAATTCTGCATCTCTGATCTGCATCGTTGCCTACTTCAACGCCACTAATCGGGTATTATCTGATTAAGAGCACTGCTAATATATGAATTCGCTGCCTAAAGTTTGGAGCTGGCGCAAGAACGTGCATTGGGAAAAACATATCTATCATGGAAGTCGGCAAGTTTGTGCCCCAGATCCTTCGCCAGTTCGACTTAGAATGGGCGTCGAGCGAGCCGGAATGGACAGTCAAGACGTTTTGGTTTGCAAAGCAGTCAGGACTCCTGGTCAGATTCAGTCCTCGTGCGGCGGCTAGCGGTCAGGGTACTTGATGTTGTAGTGAGGAAGTGTCAAGGCTTTGAGTTCGTATTTTGAATATTAACAGCAACGTGAAGATGTCCTTACGAAGTAGAGGACACTTTAGTGTTATTAATTCTAGTTTTCGTGTGTTTTCCCATCTCATAGTTGTAAGATGGGTGCAAGATTGACGCAAGAAGCACCCCGAGATCTGTACTCAGTTTCAAAATATCCTGTCCCGTATCGCTCTTTTGATGGCCGCTCTCAAAATCGGCAAAATGGCGATACGATTCGTTGCCAAGGTCTCATTGCGCGGAACCTTTGACGCCTGTAACCTGACCTACGGCCTCTAAAGATCCTGTTGGAGCCTCCATCTGATTGTAAGAGTAATGGTGTTGCCCACTCGGTTACCTTGCCTCCACTCGGTAATCGAAGCGGCAGGAATTGTGCCAAGCGCGCCCTGTCCTTCGAGGTCAATGGAGGCGCGGTTGAGTCTGATATCGGTGTTCCGGAACCGGGCTTGAATTTGCATCTCGGCATGCGCAGGAAGGTCGTAATCGTCACCGAGATGGATTCCAAGGAAGGCGGACCCATCAGCCCGGTTCCAGACAGAAGCTTCGACTTCTCCTCCGGCCGAGCGGCCTTCCTGCGTGAGAGGGTCGCCGGGTGCAGGGATGGTCAGCTCGAAGCTGTTCCAAGTGGGTGCATTGAAGAATGGGACGCAGCCGACAATTGGTCGACACACAGATTGACGCGACTTGAGGTTGACCGCGTCATTGGGCGAAATAGGGAGGGGGCTCGCGGAGGCGCAAGACAGAAACAGGAAGATGTAAGCTAGCGCTAGGGCTAGGAAGTTCTTTTGAGATGACATTGTGATATTGGTGGAAACCTGTGGAAGAGAGATATGACCGTAATGCTAGGCGTTGAATAGGCTGAAGGAGATCGTAGAATTTAGCGCATACGAACTTCAACACCTTCGGAAACTGAGCACCGAGTTCAACTTTTATAGCTCGTGTGAGGTGCACAATGTCGTCGACTTCAATCGGATCAGTCGGACATGAGATTCTGTTCATAAATTGTCGAAATCTGGATCTACCTTGCACATCGTGAGCCAACTGAGTTAGTTCTCAACCTGTCTGGGCTGGCTTAGAACTCAAAGCAAAGTGCGGGTCTACCGCACGACCTTTACTTTGCAAGAGAACAGTCCGTTCATGTTATGAACCTGTGTTCGATCATCTAGTTCAGTTTATAGTGGATGCACCACGTGAAAGCTAAATCGGCATGCCGCATTCTGCGTTCTTGATTTACACCTTCGCCTCATTGTCGTATTACAGAGGTGGATCATCTCGCAAAAAGTCTTAACCGGCGAAATGGTTAAACTCTAAAATTCCGGGAACGCTCGGGGTAGAACCCATGATCATAGTTAATTGACGACTTAATTACCTGGTAAAGTATATCATCTAGTTTATTAACGCCAGAAAAAGTCCAATTTGAAGAGTACGAACGGCTAAGCGTTGTGTTCGAACCCTCCGTGAGATCCGGGCGAAGCCATAAAACAGCTGTCTCAGCACTACTCCGATGCACCCAAGTTTACCACTCGATATTACTTTAACCAGTCCTTCCAAGACACTTGCCGACCTCCACATCGCAGATTGGAAACGAGTTTGCAGTAAACATTTTCCTCCGCGCGTTACCTCCCAAGTCTAAATATCAGTAAGTGGTCAACTTCAAGTCCATCGCTTTGCTCTTATCTAATTGGTTTTGGTGGAATCTAGTGAAGTTCTCTTCTGTTTCTCTATTGTCAGCCCTTGCCGCTGTGTCTATGGCAAAATACTGCCATATCGACTACAACGATTGCTTCAGCCAAATCACTTTTGAGCAATTCTTCGACGACCGCATCCAGGCATGCGCCAGCCTATCGGGCATCATCGATGGTGTATACGGGCCTGAGATTCAGTGCAAGAACGTGCCTGATTGGGTTCCAGCACCGAGCTCAATCATCGTGGCGGGCGCTGAATGCTCCTTCTCATGTCAAAAGGTGTAATGAGACCATGCATCGAGACAATTTTGAGCCTGCATTTCATTCCTAGATGTTCAGAGATGGGGAATCGTTACAAGATTCAAAGTGAACCACACGACAAGAGTAACAATGTTCAAGCGAAGTCGCACGGTAGCATACTTAATGCAGCCAAGCCTGGGGGTCTGACTTGTTTGTTTGACAGAGGTCCGACAAAAAATCTACTAAATATGACAAACAAATTTAAATCAAACATGACAAAATTTCCCTAATCAATTAGCCTCAACTGTGGTTCATCGAATCGACGTCGTCTATCCAACGGAAGGTTTAGTAAACGATAAGAACGAACGCCGCTGACGTGACTGTCGAGCTTTTCGGTTGATGCAACGTGATCCATCTAGGACTTCGGACCCCAAAAAGGTAATTGTGCCTAAAAAGGAAAAATTGGCTTTTCAGGATACGAGAAGGAAGCGTGCAGTTGAAGGACATATTATACTAGCCTCAATTCAGTATGTTCTTGAAACGCAGGCCCACTTCTAGCTTACCGGTTGCATCGGGACCTACCTAGAAAAGTCGAGCGAATGTCAATATCCAATTGCAAATGTAGCCGACCCCACGCCAGGCCCAATGACGTATCTCGTCACACTTCGCGCGCATGCGTGCATGGTGATTATATGAATACTGTTTTCTGCGGAACGAACGACAAAGTCCAAGCAGTTGAGTCAACGCCCTACTAGGCAAACCTGCAGAATCCACGGCAGACAGTTTTCTTCACATCGGATCTGCAATGGCCGGCGGTGCAATTCTTTCTCTCAATTCAACAGACATCTTCTTTACGACGCAGGGCAATGCAACTGGCATCCCCTTTTTGATGGTCCATGGCTGGGCTGCCGACCAGACCGATTGGGCCTTTCAGACCATGTTTCTTGTGCTTCTGCAGCTCTTCAATGTCGTTACCATGGACCTCCGAGGTCACGGCCGCAGCACCTTGTCCCCATCATGTCCCGTCGTCATGGATCCGGTCACTATGGCTGACGACGCTGCCGCTCTTTTAAAACACCTAGGTGCAAGCGCCTCCAACAAAGCCATCGTCATGGGTCACAGCCTAGGCGGCACTGTTGTCACGGAACTGGTTCATGGCTACCCAGACCTCATTCTTGGGCAGGTAGTAGTTGACCCAGCATATTACCTGGCTCCTAACGTTACAGAGGAGCTTCTTCCTGCACTCGAAGAGGACTTCGACAGCGCTGTGATTACGTTCTGGGAGAACAATGTTACATATCCTGCAGACACGCCGGATTATATCAAAGAATGGCACAAGCTTCGTACATTGGGTGCTGATGAAACGGCGATGATTGAGGCATGGGTCCAGATGAGTGATGCGCAAGGGCCGAGTGGTATGGATTATCTGAGACCAAAGAAAGTCGCAGGTATTCCGAGGCTGGTTTTGAGCAATACGGAAGCGGGCAAGGAGGTCGAAGATGCGGCTGGTATTGATGATGCATTTGACACGGTTGAAGTCATAAGCGTTGGACATTGGATCATGAAAGTTGCCCCAGAAAGATTTAACCAGGCCCTTGAAAAGTGGATCTCGACTTGGATATGAGTTGATGGTAGAGATTGTGACCCAGCTTAACGACCATGCATCAAGACAACCTCTTAGCTTACCTAACATTTACAAAAACAACGTGTTATAGAGGATGCCGCGATTCGTTGCAATGTTTGACTTGATCCAGGCCTTGAAAGTGACGATGGTTGAACGAAGTGATATGGTGACTCGCAAGGCCTCAACAGCGGCAAGACGGCAGGCTCGCCAGGCACCACGCTCCGCGCACGCGTGAAAAAAGGGATTAGCCCAACTCTACGGAATGATGTTGTGTGACAATGCGAGGCTCCCGCTCAAAAATGTGAGGGCTGTTAGAACGGGACAAGTTTAAGTTCAGCGGTACCAACATAGTAGCGAGCCTACGCACTAAATGACGAGTCATGGGTTGTACATATGACTCGACGCTTAATCTATCTTGAAGTATCGCGTATAGACAGCGAAGAGCCTTACCAGAAAGCTTCGAAGATCTCCACGAGCGAGATTTCTGCAATTTCCGACACTAGTCTTAGCATGCTTGCAGCCCCAAGGCTCCACAGGTCACAGATCAGCATTCACCACTTGCTTCTGGTGAGCCTCATCTAATGTAATTGGTCCGCCTCCGCTATGACGACGTCATCGGACAATTCGTATTCCTTTGGATCGTCTCGGTTTCGCTATTCACTTGTCCGGGGCCCCCTTGGTCAAGGAGACCATCGAGCTGGGTGATCAACTCGACGTCGTTGCTTCCGCAAGTGTTTGTATTTACTCTCAAAGACATTGTAAATTGCAGAACCTATACACTGCAAGACATAAGGTAGCTCATAGCCGAAAGCCTCTGTAGTTGAACACTCTTTATCGTTGAGGTATCAGAAAGGGACGGAGGCAAAAGAGAAAACGTCGAAAGTCGAATGGTCGCTCTTGAGAATGAGATGAAACGAGAGGGAAGAGCAACTGAGAAGGCTTTTGCAATTGTTGTGATAATGTCGGATCAGTCGTTGTACCTTTCTGCGTCAACTTGTCGTAGTCACGGAGCCTGTGAACAATTGTTGGCTTGCAATCAGACTAGACTGGAACAAATCAACACCGGCAGCGCAACATTCACGTGTGACGGTCGCATCAAGCACCGCGCTACCAGCCTCTAGTTTGAAAATCGCTATATGCGACTACACACTGGAACCCACCCTTGGTTATGTTCGATTTACGAAACCCACCTCTCTCAACCTGAGAGCTCTCGTTACCTGCTACGTATCTCGGCCTGATATAAGGTCTTGCTCAGACAAAAGCTCCGGTGTCCAGGGCTTGCAGGTCGGGGGTACCAGTGGCCGAGAAACTACAGACATGTCTACTAGAGCAACGTCGAGAACATTTAAACCTTGCGTTTCTAATTAAGCTTATTCTGTATTGAGCTTACGACAAAGTTGTAGCTCTCGTGTCACCCCGCTCATGGACCTGCCCTCTTGGGATGCTCTCCCCAAAATGGCAAAACAAAGTCCTATTCCGTGGTATACTATCATATCCTGCCAAAACGTCGGCGGAAGACTAACGAACACCTCAGTGTCCGTACACTACGCCGGGATATGTGGCGTGCCTAGGGTAGCTAATATTTGCATGGCTTTGCACCTGGCTCGATGGTCTTGAATTATCTGGACCATGGCCGAAGATGCCGCCCGAGGATTCGGTTGGCAGAGCGTCCGCCCTTTACTTCTGAGGCCAGATAGTTCGATTTGCTCCTACCTGTTGCGTTCAATGCTGATATTTGATTGGCTAAGGTTATCTAGACAAGAATGCATCTGGAGAAACTTTGATTGACTACCTGCATTTGCTGTTGTTCTTCCGCCCCATCGCCGTGAGCCAAAGGCCGTGCACGAGAAGCAATATGTGTCTCCCCTTCTTGTATCACCTCTCCGTCTTGCCGGTGGTCACTCTGTGAGCTTTGGGAGCTGAAGGAAGATACACGCCCTGCATTAGTGGTTGCACTCCCAACTCTGCGAGGCGCCGTAGTCACAGAACGATTGCACCTGATCAAGCAATAAGAGGCTCTTCGATAACGATTGTCGATTGCCCGCTAGTTTCCTACCGTAAGGCCACAAATTTTACGTTGGGGCACCTTTCGTACGGCCATCTCATCCTTCAGTATGGCACTTCGCCTGCCCAATGACCCTCAAATTTGCTTCACTCCACTACTAAAATTGAACATCTGGAGCTGGGATGAGCTTCGATGGGTATTGGCCATTGTCACTTCATCCTCAACAGCCCATTGGCATCATTTCGAAAAGATAAAACGTATAGTCAAACATCCAGATATTCATAATAAACGCCAACCTTAATCTCTAGCTCGCCTGCCACCCGAACTCCACCCACGTGGGGAGCTTGCTTGCGTTCATCAAGTGTCACAGAGGCTTGGGCACGTGCAGTCAACGGACTGAACCCCAAGGTACTCTGCGATCATCGCGCAACACTAAGCGGCATGCGGAGTAGTCCGCGAGATTTTCTGCTCCCCCGTTTCGAGGGGTTGAAGTGAGGATGATGCCGGTGGGAGGATAAGGTTTGGTGTCTCGCTGGGCTTGTTGGGACCCGTTTATAATTGATACTGTGTTAGGGGTGCATTCTTCCAGCCCCTGCATTTTGTAGTGCTACCTGATGTAGCTTGCACTGTACGAATGAGTCGCTTGCATGGCCCTGCTGAATCGTGTATGAAGACGTAGTTCGTCCGAGTTGAAGAAGATCACCTCTCGTGCTTAGCAATTGAACGGGTTCCATTGAACGCGTCAGTGGAGCCTTGCAATCTGTACCTGCAATAAACTTGAGCAATGGCGTGGATGGGGTAATACCGAATGTCATGGTGATCCTGCAAGGGACAAGGTTCCTTTGCAGATAAGACAACAAAATCCGCGAGACCACTGACTGGAGAGAACAGGCTGCCCATACATCATACAGGGGAGACACTATGGGTACAACCAGGGAAGATTCTGCTCAAACAAAGTTGGGACAATAGCACGCAAAGGGCGATTCCTAGATGCGCATATGCCGCAAGATTGAGAGACCAGGCCTCGATCCCAGAACGCCTCGAAGTGGGGCCGCCACCGGTGAACACTTGTTGGAGCGCTTCGACTGCTAGGACCCTTGAAGCGGCCCGAATCGAATACTAGTAGGGGTCATTCATGACATCCGATCACAAGTCCGCCCTGAACCTCATTGCAGTGGTCGCCTCTTACTTTCTGAGCCAGTGACTGGAAGGAAAATATTGAATCATCTTCAATGATGGCGTCCAACACGTCGTTGTACGGGTGCATACTTGCGACTATCTCGTTTTACTTCAGTTACAAAGCAGTCGTCGAACGGCGAAGAAGAGCTGGCAAAGTCTCAGTTACAAGTCTTCCCATACTTGACCAGGGAAAATGGTGGGACGTGTTCAACCTCAAGCCCAAATTCAGCTTCTATCTCGATGGCAGAAAGGCTCTTGGGCGCGCAATTGAGCAAGCCAACGGCAAACCCTTCCGTATCGTTGGTCCTGGAAGAACACTTACCGTCTTGCCTCCCCCATACGCAGAGGATATCAGGAATGACAAGAGACTTGACTTTGGGAAGGTGGTGGCCCAGGTATCTTCTGCCCTCTGTCCTTCTTGATGATAATGTTCTAAATGTTGTTTCAGTTTGTTTCTCATGAAATCCCGGGTTTCGAGGGTTTTGCAAGCGGTCTGAACGACCTGCCCGTCGTCTTGGATATGTGCAAATACAAATTGACAAGGGAGCTTGGTATGTACAAAGGCATCAAGAGACGTCCGAGGGCCATTAGCTTACCAGTCTCAAGCGAGTGTTATAGAGCCTTTGCCGGCTGAGTCCGAGATGGCCATTGAAGATATTCTACAGATACCCCAAAGCGACAGTAGGAACACTCCCATCAGATGTAGAATCTCGTCGGATTAGAACAGTGGACTAATATTCGTGCAGAATGGCAGAAGGTTCCAATCAAGCAGCGTCTGAATCTGCTTGTTGCTCGTGTCTCTGGGCGCGTTTTTCTCGGTGAAGAGCTGTGCCGTGACCCGGCGTGGCTCAACATTGCCGTCAGTCACATCATGACTGGCTTCTTGGCAGCTCTGAGTTTGAGAATGTTCCCAGCGTTCATGAGACCCTTTGTTCACTGGTTTCTGCCTCCTTGCCGCAAGCTTCGTTCCCAAGTGGAGCAGGCCCGAAGTCTGATCCGCCCTGTCATTGAGAAGCGAAAACAAGAGAAAGCAGTAGCCATTGCGAAGGGCGAACTTCCCACAGAGTACAACGACAGTATTGAGTGGTCGGAGACGTATTCAAATGGTCGCAAGTTTGATCGCGCGGATCTTCAGCTTGGCCTTTCAATTGCCTCCGTGCATAATACGACGGATCTTCTTTCTCAAGTAGTCTACGATCTTGCCGGTGATCCTGAGATGGTACAGCGCCTGAGAGAGGAAGCGAAGCAAGTGATTGGGGAATCGGGATGGTCCAAGACATCTCTCTACAATCTCAAGCTACTTGACAGCGTCATCAAGGAAAGCATGAGGATCAAGCCTATTCTCACCGGTAAGTCATGTGCGGACAAATTCACACGATCTTCAAGAAAATGACGCTGACAGGCCATGTTGTTACACAGTTGCCATGCCTCGCGAAGTCACCGAGGAGATGACTCTTCCAGACGGCGTGATATTGCCAGAAGGCACTGTCATTGGCGTCTCAGCAGAGCGTCACTGGGACTCGAGCATCTACCCTGAGCCGCATACCTTCATCGGGGACCGCTTTCTGAAGATGCGACAGACGCCCGGGAAGGAAAACGTTGCCCAGCTTGTAACGACCAGCATTAACCACCTGGGGTTCGGGCACGGCAATCACGCGTGCCCGGGCAGGTTTCTCGCCGCGGCCGAGATCAAAGTGATCTTGACTCAGCTGATTCTGGGGTATGAGTGGAGAGTGATAAAGGGCCAAGAGCCAAAGATTCGGGTGCTCGGCGTGAATCTCGACTCAGACCCTTCAGCCAAAATTGAGATTCGGCGGTGTGCAGTGTAGTAGTAGTAACAGTATGAAACTGAAGGCCATTTGAAAAGGCCCGAAAGATGTCGCGTGCGCGACTGGGCCAAGGACGGGACTGAAGTCGGACTGGCCGAAAATGAAAATGAGTTGTGATCGGCGTAAAGCCCGTAGCCCCCAAAGATGAGCATAAGGCTGTGAGGATGAACACGACTCGCGGCTACAGGTGAAGATCAAGATGTAGCACGGCAAGAGAAACAGGTGCATTGACATTACCGGGAAGGAAGCCGAGCCAATGACTCGGGATACCCTGGACACAACCCCGGCGCGAGTTCCAGTGATACCCTTGCCTGCAGGGTATGATTTTGAGGAGCTTCGTTGCTGTACGGTTTGGGAACATGTTCGCGCAACCTCTTATCGGCTGCAACGAAGGCCCGCTTCAAGCTCAAAGCTTCGAATGTTTGCTGGCGTGTTTTTCAGATGCCTCACGTGCGTTCCTCTTGGTGGTTCTCGAACTTATCGCCAAAAATGGTCTCGTCACTCCTTTGGAGCTCGTCTCCCGTTGGACTAGAGTCTGATAGTGTGAGGAGAATTCTCACGCTGCTATTTTGCGTTGTAAGTGATGAAGAAACTCCCGTAAGCGTATAGTGATGGTTGGTCTGACATGCTGCAGAGTGTCCTGTACACGCTGTGGAGGATTTCGTATAACGTGGTCCTCCATCCTCTGCGCAAGTTCCCTGGGCCGAGACTTTGGGCGGCATCGCGCATACCATTTGCAGTCACTTGTGCCACAGGTCAGGGGCATCGGAAGATCTTGCAACTGCACCAAACATACGGCGATATTGTACGAGTGGCTCCGGACGAGCTGGTCTTCTGCTCACCAGATGCTTGGAAAGACATTTACGGGCGCCGGAAAACCGCAAGGGGCGAAATCAGCAAAGATTACGTGCATTATGCCGAGGCCAAAGACAGTATTCTCGGAGCACCAAAGGATAGACACACCCAATTACGGCGAATCCTGAGCCGCGGCTTCACCAACTCAGCGGTGCTCGACCAAGAAGGTCTGATCAAGTCTCATGTTGATCAATTGTGAGTTTCATCACTTTCTGCCTCAGAGGCAATCTTAAGGTGACATCGAGGTTTAAGTTGCTGATGGACGATGCCCCGCTGCAGGTTCAACATTCTGGCTGAGCATGAACAGTCACAAGGGCCCCGAACGCCAATCGACATGAATAAGTTGTTCAACTTCGTGGCTTTGGATATCATCACGGATTTGGGCTTTGGCGATTCTTTTCATTGTCTTCATACACGGGAATACCACCCTTGGGCTCAATTCTTTTTGGACGCACTGCCCGCAATTGCTCTTGCTACCGCTTTGAAGCAGTTTCAACTCATTTTCAGCGTTCTCATGGCAATGGCCCCCAAGTCTGTTCTTCAAAAACACGAGAACATGGTGCGGCTCACAAACGACATTGTTGAAAGGCGGCTGGATGAGGCTGATCGACCTGATCTTATACAAGCCATGAAGGAGCCTACGTCTGGGCTTGAAGCTAAAGTGAGTACTCTGCTTACTTCGTCAGATGACAATCAAAGGCTAATCGAATACCAGCAACCTTTGAGCTTACATGATATCCAAGCGAATGCCCAGATCTTGACAATGGCGGGTTATGACACGACTGCCACGGCTCTAGCAGGCACCACGTACCTTCTGGCAGCAAATGCCGATGTCATGGCGAGACTGACTCAAGAAGTACGGAGCTCTTTCAAAGAAGAGAAGGAGATTACTATCTCAAGTACCAAAAGCCTGAAGTACCTCAGAACCGTCATTGATGAATCCCTGAGAATGTATCCGCCGGGTGCCTCAGGGATGCCGCGTCGCATAGGCGAGGAGGGAGACGTCATTCTGGGTCACCACATCCCCGCAGGAGTAAGTCGCCAAGTCTGTGTGGTTCTATTTTTGCCCTGAAAAGTTTGTTTGCGCATCAACTAACGCGACCCTCTTAAAGACCATCGTGTCAATATGGCAGTACGCCATGTACCACAACGCGAACAATTTCTCTGAGCCCGAGGCTTTCATCCCTGAGCGATGGTCAAATGATAAGATCGATCTCAGCGACAAAAGAGAAGCGTTTCAACCCTTCTCATTTGGGCCTCGTGACTGCATCGGGAGACAGTATGTTTTACCTGTTACAATACTTGTGCCACACACCTCTTGATAGACAATACTGACCAAGATTCCGCAAAGTCTCGCCTATGCCGAACTCTGTATCATCATTGCTAGATTGGTGTGGAGATTCGATCTGGAACTTGTTGACATGCCTGGTCAAAATTGGCTAGGCCGACAGAAAAATTACCTCCTGTGGGATCGAGGTCCACTCAACATTCGACTAAGACAAAGAGCATTATAGGACAACTTAAGCTCAACACTTTGACCATTTTTGTTTAGGTCGTTTAGCTGGCCATATGTACAGTCTACAATATTGATAAGCCGTTCAAAGTGATATGATTCCTAAGTTGCTTCAATAATTCCACGACATTTGCTTCATCGTGGAACGCCTGATTTTCCCATGTCTACGCAGCTATATTTCCTCAGTACTTAATTACTGCTATGGGAGAGCATACTAGCGACGACAACGACGACGACAATAGAAAGAACGACGACGATAGAAACGAAGACGACGATAGAAGCGACGATAGAAGCGACGATAGAAGCGACGATAGTAAGGTAGAGTATGGCCACAGGAGAAGTAGATAGCACAGGATAAATAGGCGGTATCATTTCTTTTTTCCATTTGTATTTTCTTCTCAAAATCCAGCAGAACTTGAAATTTGTTTTGTGTCTATTACATTCCGCAAGAACAACGTACTAGGGCCTTTGCCTTTCTAACATACTTTTTGGTGCTTTACCATTCACCAACTAACCGCAAAAGTGGTATAGGAGATAGGTATTTAGCAGAGACAATATCTAACTAATAAGGTACAATAAGTTCTCCAATATCCATCTCTTCCTTCCTCCTGCGGATCTGAATCTTTGTCCACGGACTTGCTGCATTCAGCACTCCAAGGTTAACAACATGGGGACCTTCGACTGGAAACCTCCACTCGTACTTCAGAAGGAAGTGGCACAGGATAATCTTGACCTCATTCGCGGCGAAGAACCTTCCAGGGCAGGCATGAGAGCCGTGTCCGAAGCCGAGCTGGTTGGGGCTGGTGGAAACCAAGTACGACTGCTGCTTCAGCTCCGGGTTCTGGCGCATGCGGTGAAATCGGAGACCGTCAAACTTGTCGCCGTCCTCGTAGAAGGAGTTGTCCCACATGTGTGTTGGACCCACTCCAAGAAGCGTGCCTTGGGGAATCAACATCCCGTTGGCGAGGCGGAAATCTTCCACGGCGATGCGATTGAGGAAGCCTAGAATGTGAGTTTCACCATTGAAAAAGGAGGAGGCAAGTACTGACAATTGGCAACCGGGTTAATCCGTTGCACTTCCTTCAGAACACTGTCCATCAAGTCGAGTTGAGCCAGCCCTGCGTTGCTGAGACCGTGGACACTCAGCACAGAGACGATCTCTTGACGGAGCAGGCCAATAAGCTCTTCGTGCTCCGACAGAGCAAGTAGTGTTTTCTCAAGCAGATCAGCGGTAGTATGGATAGCTACCATTGCCAGACTGATCTGAGCTGTCGCCATGTCAATCTTCCTGCTGAGCGTAGCCAACGCTTGATCGAAAGCATACTCCGGCTCGAGGCCGCTCTCCTTTGCCCGCTCAACCTCGCGCGCGCGCTGGTCCATGATAGGCTTCAGGACGCGGCGGCATCTGACGAGGTCGTATCTCAGAAGCCAGCAGGGAGGAAGAATCCACTGCACGAAGCGTTTGCTCCAAGTGGGAAAGAAGCGCAACGTGATACTGGCGATGAGAAAGTGCTTCGTGTACTTGGCCATGGCTCCGAGCCACTCTTCGCTGCGGCAAAAGGTTTTGCCTCCAAAGACTCTTGAGGATGTTTTGGCGACGAGGCTAACGATGGGTGCGCCAAGTTTGAAGTCCTTCCACTCTGCTCTTGTTAGTTCGACAATGCATTTTGAGACACCGGGACAGATCGTCTAACTCACCATAGCTGTCTGAATACACTTCCGAAAGGCTGTCTGAAACTTCTTCTGAGATGGCCGGGATCATCTTACCTAAATTGTAACAATGAGCCAACACAAGCCGAAATGGATTAAGTATCTTTTCAAATCCGGATGATACACATACCCAGATTCTTGGTCGTCAGATGGTCCTTGACCAACTTCAGCATATCCTGGTCAAGAACATCGCCGATTGGCTCGAACCCTTTCAAAGAACCATTTTGGACCTTGATACAAGTTAACATGACTTCCGACTTTTCATGTTGACAGCCTACCTCTTGGATGGCTTTCAAACTACTCATCACAGGATTAACACGGATCTCGCTAATCATTGAAGCCGGCACAATGAGCGCCTTCCCCAACTCCATGTTTAGCCAGTACGGCGTGTCATGATACTTCTCCGCATACGAAGCAAAGTGCTTTCTGGGCGCCTTGATGAAGGCGGCCAGACGGAATAAAGTGACGAACTCGAACGGTCGTATGGGGTTCGCAATGGGGAAGCCACCCTTGCCGGCCGCCTTCTCACCCATCGCCATGTAAGCGATGAGCATCAGAGAGGCAGCAACCAAGTAGGGCAACAAGCCGTCATTGCGGAGTGCTTCGGCGTCGAAGCCCGCGACATACAGCCGCTTGAGGATCGACATTGAGTTGAATTTTTGGAGAGACAAGAGGAATGAATGCTGCTGGTTGGAAACGACCTCTGGCGAGGACAGCCGTGGATGGGGATGTCGGCGGATATCCTACGAAACACAATAACTACATCTGTTTGCCAAGAGAAGAGAAAGACGGGAGAAAAGCTGATCTCCGCGCTAGTCATACACCCTTGAGAGATCCCAACCACAGGCAGGGGGCTCTCTCACAGCTTTGACATCATGAAGCCGTTCTTTTTTCGATCAGAAAGTTTAAAAGGCAAAGAGGAAAAGATTCCCGTGCCCCTGTTTCCACTCAGAGATGCACTCGCGTACTCCGGGATATTCCCCATAACGAGACATATTGGCGTTTGAACGCAGCTAGCATCGCGGCAGCCATCCCGAGCGCGCGCGGCAGAGTGAAGTGGGCATCGCCAGAGTCGTTGTTTACACGCCGAGTCATGTCCACCGCTGCCATCGAGAGCAAGATCCTCTCGGCCTGGGCGCGGGCTCGGCACGGGCACGGTGCGGACACGGCGCGGGGCGGCGTTTGCTAGGGCTAGACAGTTTTTGACAGTGTGTGTTACGTGCCGGGGTTGTCTGGAATGTTGTTTTCGCAACGTCCGAGGGGGCACGCCGTGCCCCTCGGATTGCGACTCCGACTCGCGAGGCAACACCCTTGCTTGGTTTAATATACATCTCAGGTCCAATCCGGTGAGGCCTTTGATAATCGTGGGCGCGCCCGCAAGAACCCAGGCCGTTGTGATGCACACCCTTGGGATGCGACTTACGTGACCCCGCCATGGTCCGGGGATGCTGACTCGAAAGGGTTTCTATCTGATCGTCACCTAGAATACCCTCAGATAGCAAGAAATGGCATTCATCGCCGTGAAGCTCATGCCGTCTCCAGTAATGGTTACTTTTATACATGTAGAAAAACACACCACAAAGACGCGAGCACCGGTCTTCCACAGCAACAGCGGCGCGCGTCATCGTACCACACTTAAACGGCAATTAACTTTACCTGGACTTTCACAATCGGACTTCGTTTGACTTACACGCCAATTTGACCTACATTTGGATTTCTCACAACCCGTCGCGCATTGCCTTCTTGCGTTTAACGCACACACACCATGCCTACATTCGCACAACCAGTTCCGGACGACATCGTCGCCTCGTCGGGGCTGCGGTCAAAGTTCCGACCTCATGTGCACGGCAACTACCAAATCTGCGTAGAGCCGTCAAAGGGGATGGAGACATTCTACAACGACGCCATGTCAACACAGCTCGAGTCCAAGACTCTGGCAGATATCCCAGGGCTCGGGCTGGTTCACCCAATGGCGCTGGCCATGGCGAACTGTCTTCCGGAGCGGCTGCCGGCCATCACACGATTTGCGGATTTTACCATTTTGAATGATGATTATTATGATATTGCGAAGAGAGACGAGGTGAGATATACGCCGAGGCTCAAGCAGGAGCCGTTTTGAATACTGTGGACTGACGCGGAGTTTCTTGACAGATCGAGAAAGTCAACAGTGATATCCAAAACGCGCTGCAAGACGCCTCAGTGCCCGGCAGTAAGACCCAGAGCTCGGCCGGCTCTGATAAAGACTTCAAGCCAAAACAGATGCAGGCTGCTCTGGTCCTTGAGCTGATCATGCTGGATCAGCAACTTGCGATGGACATCATGTCATCCTACAGCCAGGGCCTCGATGTCGCCACCTTTGCTCCAGACAATCTGAGGACGTTGGACGAGTACTTGCCCGTGCGGAAGGTCAACTCAGGTCTTGAGTAAGTAAACCTGCCTCAATTGGTACCGCCATTGAGAACATCTTTACTAACCCATCTTCCTAGCGTCACCGCTGAAATGGTCTGCTTCGGCATGGGCCTCCGCATCTCCCCCTCAGACAAAGCCAAGCTCCGCCCGGTAGTCGACCTCGCCAACTTCGCCATCACCGTCGTCAACGACCTCTACAGCTGGCCCAAGGAGATCAAGTGCCACCTCGAGACCCCAGGCTCCGAGCTGCCCTTCAACGCCGTGGCCGTGCTCATGCGGCACGGCGGCTACTCCGAGCCCGAGGCCTTCCGAATCCTCTACGCCAAGCAGGCCGAGCTCGAGGGCGAGCACCTCCGCCAGCTCGACGCGCTCCGCGCGCAGGAGGGCGGCCGGCTGCCCGAGAACCAGGAGCTCTACGTCGAGAACGCGCAGCGCGCGGTCTGCGGCTCGGAGCTGTGGAGCGTGTATACCAGGCGGTACCCGTCCAAGGCGGACTTGCGGCAGCCGGAGGTTGAGTTTGTGGACGGGGCGTTCAGGTATGTGGCTGACGGCGAGGGCGCCGGTGAGGAGAAGGTTGTCTCGGAGAGTGTCGAGTCCCTGCCGACTACTGAGGTTGAGGACGAGTTCTCCTCGTCGGATGCGTCTCCGGGCTCGGTTGACCAGGCTATTTCGACCCCGCCGTCGACGACGTTCTGCAGCTGCG